GTGATGAACACCTTCATTCTAGCACTCAGGGGGCAGAGGGAGGATGATGGTTGTGAGTTTGTATTATTGCCCTATATGACATAAATTATTATAACTAAAAAGTATTCATTAATCTCTGGTCATGGGTCTTTTTAAGGATTGCAGACACACAATGTTGCTCCCAACTTTACAAGGATGTTGAGAAGTGGGCAGCGAGTGCTTTTCCTACTGAGCCATCTCCCCAGCCTTCTGAAGGCTCCTTACAAAAGGACCTCAGGCATTTTCTTCATCCTTAGAGCATTTGAAATTCCTGGTAATCTTTTCTGTAGCAAGCTTTCTTATCCGACTATCTTTAAATCACCAGCCCCCAAATAGTGACATGAAGACTTATTAATTATGAAAGCTTAGCCTTTGCTTAGGCTTGTCTTCAAATAGTTCTTATAACTTATATTAATCTGTGTTCTGCCACATGGTGTTACCTCATCTCTACAATTCTCATTCTTCTTCCTCCAAATCTAGCTGGCAACTCCAGCTTTCTTCTTCCCAACATCTTCTGTCTCCCCAGAAATCCCACCTATTAGCTATTGGCCATTCAGCTCTTTATTACACCAATAACAACAACACATCTTCGACAGTGTACAAATACCCCACAACATTTCCCCCTTTTGTCTAAATAAAAAGGAAAGGTTTTAACTCTAGCACAGTAAAATGATATACAATAAGAACACTTATCAGGTAAATAAAAAAGGGAAGGTTTTAAACATAGCAAAGTAAAACTATGTGCAATAAGAGCAATTATCAAGTAAGAATTATATTCTCAAAGTCCAGTCTATTTGCATTTGGCAAAATCAGAGAAAACACTCAGCTATCTATTCTATGCTGGTGAGTTCAAAGTTTTATACCTACACCATTTTTTATAATAACTTGTATTGCCCTCCTAAAATATCTTTTTAGACCTTTAAACATCCTTTTAGATAAACAACTTAAGATTTTATGTTTTTTAACCTTATAAACTTTGTATCTCTTATATAAATTTCTTTTCTGAATTTGGTAACAAAAAATGGTATAATTATCTAGTCTTCAACCCCATCAAAGACCCAAGAAGGAAAAAATATTACCTGAATAAACAGGAAATACAGAGAAAACAGCTTCCAAAACTACAGAAACAGTCTGAACAGTCACCCAAGTTTCCTCTGTAACATTGAGGTATCTGTCTTTGGCCTACAGGCCTAGAATATCTGACAGATTTTTCTGTGAAGCACAAATTTTGAGGGACTGTCTTGCCTTGTCTTGGCAAAGTTTGACAGTCGTCTTCTTTTGTGTCCTGCTTGTCCAATTTGGACAGCATACTGTGAGCAGTTGAGGCAAAAATAGCTAGCTTTGCCACAATAAAAGCAAACTCCATATGTTTGTTCTTCCATGCCCATCATCCTTTTTTGAGGTAAATTGATGCTGCCAGGAGCAGACATATCTCATTGTCATTAAAGCCTTACATTATTAAAGCACTTTAAATGCCATATTCTGTGTCTCTGAAGTGTTTGAAGACCATCTATTTATTAAAATAAAAACTTTCCCTTTTTATTTAGATAATGCCTGATACTTGTTCTTATTGTATATTATTTTACTGTGTTAGAGTTAAAAGCTTTCCTTTTAATTTAGACAATGAGGGGAATGCTGTGGGATATTTGTACACTGTGTAAAGCTGTGTTGCTCTGATTGGTATAATAAAGAGCTGAATGGCCAATAGCTAGGCAGGAGAGAATAGGCAGGATTTCCAGGGGGAAAGAGGATGCTGGGAAGAGGAAAGGTAGAGTCACCAGCCAGACAAGACAAATGTAGCAAGTTTTCTTGTTACAATATCTTTGTATCACCAGCCCTCAAATAATGACACAAAGGCATATTATTAACTATGAAAGCTCAGTCTTAGCTTAGGTGTCTTTTCCACTAGTTCTTACATTCTGTCACATGGTGTCGCCTCATCTCCATACTGCTTCCTCTGCCTTTCTTCTGTCCAGGATCCTCTTTCTCCCTGGAAATTCCACCTATTCAGTTCTGCATAGCTGTTGATCATTCAGATCTTTATTACACCAATCACCGCAATACATCTTCACACAGTGTACAAATATCCCACAACACTTTTCACTCAATAGTCCTGTATATTTTCCTTGGAGATCATTCATTTCATTCCTGCCAAACCAATTGCCATAAAATTAAGTTGAGGCTCCTTGGGGTGGTGTCAGTCTTGACTCCCATTTCCTGCATGCACACTAGGTTTTTGTGTGATTTTTTCTTCCTTACCTCTGGGCCTAAACTAACAGGTCAATTGCTATATTGAGCTGACAGCCTCTCCGGAGCTATCTCTTACACTCACTCACTAATTACCTCATTTTCTAATTTACCAATTTTTCAGTTATTTGTTTTTATACTTCTGCTTTCCTAAGATGTGCAAATTTTTCCTTAAAAACAGATTTCATTTTTAGTGCAGTTTTAGGCTCAGAGCAGAACTGATTGCAAAGTGCAGTTTCTTTTTATTGTATCCTTGAGTCTTTTTATCTAATCAAGCACTTAACAGAAAACAGAGAGTTCAGACTTTGCTACATCTATGGTTTTGAAGTCATAGTTTATTAGAGTTATTTTGTAGATATTCAATCTAGAGTTAAACATTTTGTTTCCTGTTCTGTTTAAAAAAGTGGCCTACAGGGGAGCTTGCGGTTTGGTTTGGAAGAGTTTAGGAATTTATTTCTTTCATATTTTTTGTTATTAGCTACGAGGCAGATTGGCAAAGACCGTGGTATTTTTCTTCTTTAAGGAACATGGGCAATTTTGTTGCAGCTTAATTGTAAAGTGTCCTCAGGTGCCAGAGATACTTCTGAGAGCATCTGTGTCACAGGGATGTGTGCATCCTTCAGATCTGACCACTGGGTCATGTCACTCAACGCTCCTCTTTCTCATTCTTTGTTTCCTGCTTGGTTCCTATAGAAGAGTCTTAAAGTCTTCCATTTCAGTTTTATTTCCATTTTTTTCTTGAATGCCTCAAGATTTCACTTTATATATTCCAATGAAAATGTATCAGCAAGTGAAGATAACAACAATTTTATGTCTATATCCTTTGAGCTAACAAAGTCTCTGACATTGTAACAATGTCTTTTAAAAAAGAGCATCTTGAAAGTCTTTCAAAAATAAACATTGTCTACACTATCAGAAAAAAATGACAGTAAGCCTGACCTGATGATGTATGTCTGTAATCCTAGCTGCTTAAAAGCCAGAGGCATAAGATTTCAAGCTCCAGGTCATTCTGGACAATTTAGTGAGACCGTGACTCAAAATAAAAAGTAAAAAGAGGATTAAGGATATGATTCAGTGGCAGGGGACTTGCCCAGCATGTGTGAGGCCCTGGGTTAATCCTTAGTATTGCAAATATATATAAATAAGTGCAAGTTCAGGAATATAGCACAGTTAGTAGAACATGGGTGAGACCTTGCTTGGTTCAACCCCTCATCACCATCATCATCATCATCATAAATGGGACATACTGGTTCTTGTAACACATTTCAGCCCCAGCTTTTGCTAGCATTAAAAGAAATGGATTTCATTGGATGAGCATGTTTGTGTACCTTGTGTGTGTTTATCAGGAAACATACATAGGGGTCAGCAGATAGCTCTCAGGAGTTTGTTCTCTCCACCTTCCCACAGATTCCAGGGATCACACCCAGATTATCCGGTTTGTGCATCAAGGTTTTACATGCTGGGCCATCTTGCCTGTGACATTTTCTTTTTTCAAGACAGGATCTCACTGAGTAACTCCAGCTGGCCTGGAACTCACTGTGCAAACCAGGCTGGTCTCGAACTCATATATCTGCCTGCCTCTGCCTCCTCCCAAGTACTGGACTAAAGGAGTGTGCCACCACATCTGGCCCATTGTGACGTTGTTCTATTCTCATTCCCTCCTTGCTGGTCTCATTTCCCCAAGTAGCTTGAGCCAGCAGCCCCAATGACATCACCGAGAGCCTCCTTTCTCTCCTAATTTTTTTTTATTCTTTTCAGGGCCCACCTGAAGATACTCAGCTAGAAGTGAGTACTGTTGGGAGAACAGGTTCAGAAAATGGACGAAGGAAACCCCTTCACCGCCTTCTTCAGCCTGGTTCATGCCTTTTCCTTGGTACTCTTTGAGACTCATATTTTAGCCTGCTTCCTTTTAGCTTCAGTTTTCATTCTACTGGCCATATCTGCCCTTCCCATCCCTCAGATGTCACTATACCCTTCTGAACTCATTCTGAAGCTGGGTTCCCCACCCCCATCCACCCTGAAGGATGATAGGCCCATAGTCACTCTCTCATACTGTCCTGCAGTAAACACTACTGGCTACATTAAAATGTAAGTAACAGCTCTGTGATCACGTGCCCATCACCCAGCCCCTGTGTGTTTCTGTGACCTTCCAGCTCTTCCTTCCACCTACTGCCAAGAAGTCACCATTTCTGCATCTATCATTTTATTTTAATTTGTGCTTTCTTTTAATCACTTTTCCCTTTGTTTTGAAATTGGGGTCTCATTCTTAGCCCATGGGGGCTGGGCTGAAACTTATTACACCCTTGATGGCTTACAATTCACAAAACATCCTCCTGACTCAGTTTCCCAAATTCTGGTGTGATGGGGGAAGTCCTTATGTGTATATGCTGTCTTATTGGTTGATGAATAAAGCACTGTTGGCCAATAGGGAAGCAAGATAGGTGGAAATAGGAGAGAAGGAGGATTCTGAGGAATGTAGTCAAGAAGAGGGTTGCCATGTGATCTCTGAGCAGGAGAGGATGCACCAGAAGGGTGTCCTTGGAAAGACAAGTCCTTATAGAAATATATATTAGTAGTCATGGGTTAATACTACTATAAGACAGAGCTAGCCAATGAGAATCCAAGAAAGCTGAGAACCAAAGGTCCACACGCTGCTCTCCAGGCAGAAACCAAAACCCAAAGAGAAAGAGTCTCCTCCCCCTAGCTCTCCCCCTATCCCCGTACATTCTACATACCTGTGACCACGCCCAAACTTATGGCAGCAGCATCCTTGATGTCTGCATCCTCATGGCAGCAAAGCTTCTCCAGTCCTGACAATCAAAACTCTCTCTAGAATTGACATCCCATGTGTGGCAAGATTATCCCAGTTCAGGAACAACTGTGGAGGCACATAGGCAGGAACACATCAGGGTGTATACTTGCCCACGACTGGACCTGATGGGGAAAAAGAAAACCTTGTTGGTTTTGCCTTTTTAAGCCTCTGGAAAATGTGACTTGTGGCCATTTCCTGGGAACCCAGAGATGAACCTGGCCAGAATCCATCACCTTGCCAGTATTTAATTAAAGCTCGCTTCAAGTTGACTCAAAAATTGCAGAACTGGTCCCTTTCTTGCAATTTTCAGGACTAACAATAGTTTAAGTAACGTTTTCTGAACCTTCCACACATGTTCAAACCTTCTGGGAATCACTTTTAAATTAACACTTACATATGTAGAGCTACAACTTTTATCTTTATGTACCTGTCCATTACTGGGGACACCAGTAACATTCTAGCATCAGTTAAAATAAATGAGACCATTAGGATGGACCCTAATCTAAAGAGACGGGTATCCTCATAAGAAAAGGAAACCAAGACATAGGCACACACAGAGAGATAGCCCTGTGAAAACATGAGGAAAAGATGGCCATCTAAAAGACATGACTCAGAACCAGCTCAGTCAGAAATGTCAGGGGGGAAATTCTCTAGGCCACTCAGCCTAGAATCATTTATTAGGTTGCAGCTTCTCACGTCAGTTTCTGGATTAATCCACTACCCTACACAGTACACACACCGGGGCCACTTAGTGCCTGTGTTTAGAATACATTGCTAGCCAGGTCAAATCAAGGCACAGTCACTGAACAAACAGAGAGAGAAAAAAGTCTCCATCCCTGAAAAAAAGCCTCCCCTGAGCCCAGCCAACCATCACCTAACCACAAAGCCAGGCTAAGAGGTGATCTGGTAGCTGCCAGTGCTCCCTAAAAAGTGCCTTAAAGTTGGGGTCCTGCTGCAGAGATTTCACTTCCCAGAGTCACATCACCATCATAATGCTTGGGGGCAGAATTCAACATTTTTCTCCTTCACTACCATGGCAACTCTCCTTCCCACACCAGCCTCCTGGGTCACTGAAGACAAGATTCTCACCTGCTCCCATGATAAGCAAGAGACTTTCTCCAACTCTTTTTCCATGACAAACTTGGAAATCCTAATGCTTATGCACCTTTAAAATGCATGTAGAGGCTAAGGAAGACAGCCCTGGATTAATCTACTTTAGATGCAAGCCTCAGTTTTAATCCCTGGCACCTAGGTAAAAACTGGGCATAAAGGGACAGACTGGTAATCCCTGGATAGTAGAGGCAGAGGCAGGAGGATCCTTGGGGTTAACTAGCCTTTGAGGCCAGAGTAACTGGTGGTCTTCAAGCCAATGAGGCATCTTGTCTCAAAAAATAAGGTGGAAGGACTGGAGTGATAGCTCTGTGGTTAAGAGCACGGGGTTCAGTTCTCAACACTCACATGGTACCTCACAACTGTCTATAATTCCAGGGATTCAACACCCTCTTCTGGTCTCCGCAGGCTACACACACACACACACACACACACACACACTCAGGCACAAGACTACCCATGAAATAAATTCAATAAATAAGGTGAAAAGCAATTAAGGAAAACATGGGCATCAGCTTCTGGCCTACACACACACACACACACACACACACACACACACACACACACAAATAAATAAAAACCAAATGTATTGAAGTGGGTTTTCCTGTTACTCCACAGATAAATGGCAAACAGGGACAGGGACAGCATCTCCCTGCAGGGCGACTCCATCACACCGGGTCCTGCTCCACAAGCAAGGTTCTGCAGAGGTACCTTCTTTCTCTCCTCTCACCTTCCTGTCTTTTCCAGTCAATAACTCCTGGAGCACAAAGAGGGATTCGTACCAGCTCACTGGCTTGCTATGAATCACCTGGAGTGCTGCATTTTAGAACCCAATTTTTAAAACTCACTTACACTTCAGAGGAGAAAAATAGCAACATTACTGGAAGGCTCAATTAAATTATCCCAGGTTAACGTCTCCATGAATAACTGCAAACACACGGCCACTGGATACACTAGGAAGCTGTTTCCTTTGCAGATCTATGGTCTATTTTGTGAGCACATTAAAATATATATTTCTAATAGAAAAAATGTTTACTCCCTTTTAGAGCAAGTGAGTGCCTATCATTCCCAGGACAATGGCTTCCTGAGAGCCACAATAGCTTTTATCTCTTTAAGCCCCAAAGGACACTGGGTAAATCTCTCACTTGGGTTAACTTTGCTGAATATATTTAACTGGTAAATTATTTGCCTTCCCAACTGGAAGAGCCAATATACATTTATGTCCTAGGAATGGTTTGTTTTACTAACTTTATGAGTGAAGACCTCAATAGTAGCAAAGCCAAGGGACATTTAATTAAGTTATATTTGCTTTTTCATGATCTTAGGCTCAAGCTTATAAATCAAGAATCAATGAGTACTTAATTTCCTCTTATAGCATTAAAAGTAATTGCTTCATAAATTCTCTTTAGTAATCCAAATATTTGCACACAGTGCAGCACAAAGAGAAGTTGTCTCACTGATGAGAGCCCAACTTTTATTTTATTAGAATAAAATGGAGCTGGCTTATTTTATAGCTTGTGATTTTCCTGGCTGCCTCAAATTCCTTTTTGAAGCAGACAGGATATAAATTTAAAATAAATACAATTATGACTTTGCTTGAGGAGAAAAAAAGCAAGGCTACTTATTTAAAATGTAAAAAGAAGTCACAGTTGTACATATATTTCGACCTAGCAGAATATGAACATAACAGCTACATTTTCCTCCCCACCAGACAATAAAAAACTATTTTGAAGACTGATTTTACCTTTATTTCACCTGTATATTTTAATTGGGGGTAGGGAGAACCAAAATAAAAGTCTTAATAGTTCTGGTGAAATGGTTTAATCAGTAAAGTACTATGGAAGCTTGAGGAACGGAGTTCAGATCCCCCCGGGCTCACCCTGAAAGCCAGCTACAGTGGCTTTCATCCCAACATTAGGAAGTGAAGACAGGAAGATTCCTGGGGTGCAGTGGCCCGTCAGTCTAGACGAATTGGCAAGCTCTGAGACTATCTCAAAATAAAGGTAGACAGGAGTTGAGGAAGACTCTAATGCTGACCTCTGACTATTCCACCCACGCGCGCGCGCGCGCGCGCACGCACACACACACACACACACACACACACACACAAAACAAACAAATATAAATAGATTGTTTTCCGTTGCATCTCCGTAGATGATTGCCAAGTTGGACCTGCCACAGAGGCTGGAAGCATCCGCAGGCTTTAACCCTCTGTTCATATCTCCCCAAATTTAAACACCACACTGGGGGTTACAAAACTCATTTACAGTCCCTGACTTTGTATGAGCCAAAGACCACTTTTCTCTTGTTGCCAACAAAAACCAAGGTGAGGAAGCATCAGAGCTTATGGTCACGTGCTGCCTGGGGTGGAGTGGGAGGAGCCCAAGCTTTCGAGCTTTCTGGGGTCCAGAACAGAGCCAGGACTGCTCCACGGCAACTGCAGTCTGCACGAAGTGGCTAGCACATACTGTATGCCAGAAATTCAGCCAGTACTATAAAATAGAATGTGCAAGAAAGCCAGTGTTCCTGCAAGCAGGAGGCAGCATGGATAACCCTGAACCACACCGCAATAAGTGGAAGAGACCAGTCACAGAAAATCCTGTGTTGAGGCTGGGTGTGGTGGTGTACAACTTTTAATACCAGGACTCAGGAGGCAGAGGCAAGAGGATGGTGAGTTCAGAACCAGCCTGAACCACATAATGACACTGTATCTTCAAAGAATATGTTATATGACTCCTTCTACATGAAATAACCACAGAGGAACCCAGAGGAACAGAAAGTAGACTGGGGACACCAGGGGCTGTGGCACAGAGAAATTGGGGGTGTGCAGAGTCTTTGGAAGGTAATGAAAATATTCTAAAATTGATTGTGGCGGTGCATGAATATGTCTCTGAAAAAAATGTGTTGGAGTCACTTAACATTTAAATGGGAATATTGTATGGTGTGTGGATTGCATTTCAATAAAGCTGTTTTTAAAGATATATATTGTACTTGTACACCCAGCCCAAAATCCATGGCTAAGGAGGTCCTGGTCTCTAGGTGAGAACTTATTGTCACAGAGCTACGTTGTCATGGCTCCAAACTACTTTCCAAATGCCTGTTTATAATCACAGACAAACACTACTCTCGACCTTAATCAAAGGAGCCTCTCTTTGTGTAAACAGTGGTGGATGCAGGCACTCATAGCTGCTCTGGTACTAAGAATAAAAAACAGTCTGAGCTGAGCCCTAAACGGGACATTTGTACCATCCTTTAAGGACTCAGGGGACATCATGGAAGAAGGGACGGAAAGAGCATACGAGCCAAAAGGCAGAGTGAGGTGCTACAAAATGCCATGTCCTAGCTGACCTGGACTAGCAAATGGTTCTTCAAAGACAAGTTCCTGAGAGGAAGGAGCAGAGGACCAGAATAATAAGGAAGACAGGAAAGCTGGGGTCAGAGGGTCTTGCATGAGCTATGTCTTAGGCCAGCAAGTTTGCTTGGAAGTAAAGCATCTTATAGATGGTCTGCAGGTGGAAAACGGAACAGTCAGCAGAAAGTTATCATACAAGGGGCCAAGCTAACCAAGCAATGCTGCACAGAGGGAACACAGGATTGTCTCCAGTGTATCAGAAACCACGTGCTCAGTGGTCTCCAGACTGATAACACCAGTCCCTTCAGTGAGGAAAAGGCAGGTTTCCAGGAACCAAAACCTTAACCCCTTGAGGCCCTGACCCCAGACACACAGCAGACATTGCCAAGTCTGCCCCTGGGGAAGGAAACAGAATTAGTGTTCCCTTTGTTCTTTCACGGAGACTCTGAGAAAGCCTTGGATAGGCCTCCCTCCCTACTGGGTGTGACACAGCTATTGCAATCGCCTGAGGTTGTTTTCACTGCCCTGCACAAGGCTGGGCCTGGCACCAGTCAATTATGGACTGGGGAGGGACTCTGCTGAGCTATTGACTACTAGTAGATTCTGGGGGAGCAGCGCTCACCGTCTTTTGTGGTGTACCC